AATGATCTATAAGTGTCCAGAAGCTATCGCAGGTAAGCTCATACGGAAAAAAGGGAAAAATCAGCATAAAAATCAATAAAAATCAATAAAAGAAGCAAAGCATTTAAAGAGCAAAGAGAGGAAGCGTCCACACTCACAAAAGGAAGGACAAAAAGGCTTTTAATGATTGGCTTGACAGAAAGACCAAGCTGCAGGGGATGTGAAGGTCAGGGTGGTTAAGGAAGAAATGCTAAAGACATTAGATAGTGAAAAAATGACAAGAGTGAGAAGACAGAACACATCCTTTGAGGAGCTGATGAATGAGGAGAATGAATGAGTGAATCAGGAAGTGTGGAAAGGTAGTCGGTCCAGATGACATACCTGTGGAGTTATGGAGATGTCTGGGAGAGAGGCAGTGGACTTTTTGACCAGATTGTTTAACACAATCGTGGAGAATGAGAGGATGCCTGAGTCTTTCAGAACCGTGTCACCTGGAATATGCCAATTCAAAAATATCAAGTGTGTACATTATCTATGTTTCAGTTAACATTTATATGGTTTTTCTACTCTGAGCAGTCAAAGTGCTTTTAACTACAAGCCTCCTTCATCCAAACACACACCAATACCTGGGCTTTGTATTCCTAAACACCTCATCCAACGTTCTTTTGCAAAAATAAAACAATCAATAGAGAGCAGACTTCCACCTTTTGTTTAACGGGTTTAAGAAAAATATTTCATTACATTTTTCAAAAATTTAAGTCATTGTAATACATCTTTGACAATAAAGGTAGCAAAGTTTTGGTATAAGGTTGGTATTTCTGTCTAACCTTGAGTGTATTTCTTCCCAATCCTGCCAGCACTGTCCTTATATTAACACCATTTCTCACCGTGCTCCAGGCTTAGTGGCCTGATAGCTTGCTTCTGTAACCAGTGGGAAGTGGTGGTGCATAACTATAGTGTGGACTTCCTTAGTACTGAATGTGTGTATGTTTGGAGGTCTGTGCTGAGATGCAGCACATGACTTATAGACACCAGTCTATCTGTGTGTGTTTATGTGTGCTAGCTATTGTTTTTGCATGCATTTACTTTTACATTACATATATTTACATATGTTGTGAAAACAGAAAATTGAAGTCATCTTTACGTTTTATGTTGACGTTTTTTCACAGCAGGGTTTAATGGCACGCAGATAAAAACAGATATCGGTTAAATCCAAAGTGACATCTCTCTCATTCTATCTCAAACGACATATTGTCCAATATTGTCCAATAGCTTCTCTCGCTGCTCGTTGACCATATTCTTGAATTACTGCCATCTTGTGGTCTCAGTTGGCTGGTGCCTCTAGCAGTGTGCTCGACTCTCCTCTTTATTCCACCAGATTTGTAGGATAGAGCACATTTCATGTAGATGTTTGTTCCACTAACAAAAGCTCTCAGCAGCTTTTTCTGGCTGTTTGCATCAATGTGAGTGTTTGGTCTGTGATGGGAAACTAGTATGCTGCCACTGGCTTTGCTTTCACTGCTCTGAGATAAGTTGTGATACATTTAGGGAAATACACCTAGCATAAATAAGTACATAAGCACTCTGGGATTTATCATCTAAAAAGATGTGTTTGTCTAGCTATGCCAATCCATATTATGTGGAGAGAAAAGTGCAGTGTCAAGACGTTTTTAATATCTTCTTTAGCACATGCTTTGGCTCTGCTTAAATAAATATCCAACTTGCATCTAAAGACCCGGTTGTGGAAATCGATACTTTATATTTTTCATTAATAAAGATTAATCTTTCTAATGATTCTAACAGGTTGTTCCAACCAATTACAGTATCAGAGCCTTGGGGCATATAATCCTGGCCATGAATTCAACTGTATACCAAAGTCTTCTAGAGCCAAATGTGAAGCTGACCGCTAAAACGTTTTCCAAATTCGATCATGCAACAAGACAATGATCTAAAGAACAGCAGCAACTCTTCACGATGACAAAGAAACAAAGGGTTGCAATGGCCAAGTCCAGAAATCCTCCTGTTTGAATTCAGTGATATTAAGGAGCGTGGACCAAATACCTCCACAACAATGTGACATCTAAACATTTATTACAGTTACAAGCCATTGAACCATGGGGTGCATACCAGACAGCTTACTACACATGTCTAAACCTTAAGTCCATTCTCATGTACCCTGGTTATCAGCTTCACTTGGTTGTAGGGATGGGTACCGGTATCCGGTGCCATCATGGCACCGGTTCTGTCATAAACGGTAGTAACCAGACC